CTACCCCCCTTGTCTAAAAATCACATCAGCATGCAGCTCTGCATACTGATATGAAATCACCTTACATTCATTAAACAAATATATTTTCATTGTGCTAACAAATTTCTTTGTTTTCTACTCCCTAGTTCTCTCTGGTTCTCTTTGGCAAAAGTGATGTAATGTGCCCAAAAATCTAATCTGTAATCTCACGAGAGCTCAGGAAAAGGCATTTTCCTCCCCGGAGATGATTTGCATGGCCACATGTCCTAGTCACATGTGCCAGAGTTCCAGGAAGTAAAGGGAGATGCATTAATATGCCCTTAGTAAAAATTGACACTGTGAAAAGAATGGAGGGGAAAAGAAAAACAGCTATGCAAATAATAAAAAGTCGGCAATTATCTATAAATATGTGTTTGAAGATTGGCATTACTAAACATTTTTAAAGGTGTGCTTGTTATTATTTTGAAGATATGGGTAAAGTGCCTCTTTAATTGTTATTGATGAAAATCTGCTCGCTTGTGTCAAATATGATTTTGTTATTGTTATACAGTACCGGTATATCATTATTTATTGCTACTGAAATTAATCTTCCTGATTTGCTTTTCATGCCTTTTAAACCAACCACCTTGACACGGCACAAAGCATATAACAGTTCCCACTTTACACTTTGCAGTGTCATGAAATTGTCGGACTGGTTTTAAAACAATGGACTGGTTTGTAAGTGACTTGAAACCAATCTTTATAAAACTGAAAGCACAGTGAATCTTCTCAAAGACATCAATGTCTTCTAAAGTGTAGTATACAACACATTCTAGAAATACCTTTCAGTCTGACTGCACAAAAAAACATATACATATTTATAAGTCTTTTACAGCTTTAAAGTGGAAATCAATGAGAACTCACATTTTCTGTAACATCATGAAAAACAAAGATGTGAACTAGTCTTCAGAAACAAAATATGTTCATAATGTGGGGGTAGGGGAGGAACAAAGCATTCATGTGCATTGTGATATAGCTTCTACAGAATTTATATTTCTCAGTATAGTACATGCAAGGGGGCTGTGATTAAAAGCTTTTTCATCTCTGCTGGAGCCGTAAATATATTTATAAATAAAATTCCCCAATTTATAAAAGGCAAAATGCTACAACTGCATAAATACAACGGCTGTCACAATGCCTAAAATATTTCAGAAAACAATAGGTGATCCCCCCCTGCATTCCTTACAGCGCTTCCGGTCCAAGTAGCAATAGTGGTGACCGCAGTGACAATCACGGATGGCGCTGTGCACAACAGTCAATGAATGATAGAAATCACCAGCACTCCGCAAATGACATTCGAAAAATGCCCATTTATTTGTACTAAACGTCACACATATCGCATAATCCAATGTTTCGGGATCCCTTCATCAGGGCAGAGACGTGACCTACATATGATTGATTTTTTTTTTTTCATTAAAAATTGGGAATCCTTATGCCCTCCTAGGTGTACCAAGGGTGTAGCATGGGGGCCCCAGGTGCCAAATTTTTTGGGGTGCTACGGGCCCTCCCGTACTGGGCCCCATGGGGTCAGCAGGGGGGCCCGGGCTCGGGTTGGAAGCTGCCACTGCTCTGCAGCTCCCTCCTCCCCACTGGGAGCTGTCTGCATGCTGCGGTCTCTGTTCCCTTCAATCCCCATTGCTCTCACCCGCCTGTATCAGCAGAGGCAGCGGGGATCGTAGGGGACACAGTACTGATCCACCTGCCGGTGCTGAGCGAGGGTGAGAGAGCAGTGGCAGGAGGAGTCAGGATGGAAAGCAGAGCTGTGTGGGGCTGGGCGGAGCTACATGATGCCAAAGCGGAGGATGAGCAAATATGTCAAATATTTGCTGATCCTTCCGCGTACTGACCAAACGCCGGGGTGATCAGTAATGATCACCCTGGTGTTTGCAAATAACTGAGAACATATTATGATTACTATGTCCCCCGTTATGAATGAACAGGAAGAAGTGCTACACATCACTTCCTGTTAATTCATGACTAGGGGACATGATAATCACGTACTATGTGCTCAGTTACTGAATGGACAGGAGCGTTCACTACAGAGGTTTCCTGTCCATTCATAACTGGGATGATTACTATGCCTCCTCAGTTTGTGAATGAACAGGAAGCTTCTGTACTGAGTGCTCCAGTGCATTCAGTTCTGGGGCTGTATAAAAAGAGATTGAGGACTCTGTGTCCTCAATCTCTTTTTCTATTTCAAAAGGGAAATATCAGGTGTCTGTTTATACTCCTAATATTTCTCCAAAACGCCCCAACAGTAAAGTAAAATCAAAAATAGTTAGGGGTGTACAATATTTGCCTTGCCCAGGGTGCTGACAACCCATGCTACAGCAGTGTTGAGGACCTTTCTATTTGACTGGCTAATAGTCAAAATATCTTGGGGAAAAAACTTTTTTCCTTTTAGGATAAGGAGATAAGGACTAGTGCACCCGGTCAGAGTTTTGAAGCCCAAAATAAGTTTTGTGCACTAAATGTTCAAGCAAAGTCTATGTCAATAGTCCATATGTTTCAGGGGCTTAAGGGTGTCCCCTTTTATCAGAGCTAGAATTTATATAAAAATGATATAAATATAAAATGTATACAAATATTAAGTATGTACCATTAACTTCCAGTATAGTAATATATTCTGACTCCGATCGTTGTGATAGCGAAATATATCCCTTGCTGAGACCTCTATGCCTGGCCTGTATAAGCAGATATACTCACTGCGGACAATCCTCGTCAGATAGCTGAACTCGTCAATACCGATTCATTCAAAAGAGGTGTTTATTCTTTAACATCAGGTTACAGCAGATGATAGGAACAGCAGTTGAACGGTTATAGTATTGTGCGGTCAGAAAATGATGCCTTTCCTACGTACTGTGCAGATTACATGTGTGTCCTTGTTACATGTGGCTATTAACTGTGGCCATGACACAGGAAGTACTGCACACAGGAAGAAGGAAGGGGCGTACACTAGGGGGAAATACATCGTCACATGAGGAATAATTACAGAAAACATGTTTGTTACAACAAAAGGCCACTAGATGGCAGCATATGATAACACATGGATTTAGCTATGAGAAAATAGTTAGGCAAATCACACTATATAAATTCTAACCTATATAACCATGCTAATCTTAACTGAGGCTATGCATCTCATATTCTATGCCCCTATTGGGGCGGCACATAATACATGAAAATTATATAAAAAATCATACAAATATTGGTAATAGCCATAATATTTTACAACCCAAACTCCACAAAAGTTGAGAAGCTTTGTAAAATGTACATAAAAACAGAATGCAATGACCTGCAAATCTTATAAACCCGTATTTTATTCACAATAGAACATAGATAACATATCAAATGTTTAAACTGAGAAAATGTACAATTGTAAGAATAAAATTAGGTAATTTTGAAATTAATAGCAGCAACACGTCTCAAAAAAGTTGGGACAGGGCAACAAAAACCTGGCAAAGTACTAACAAGGAAGAGCTGGGAGAACATTTTGCAACTAATTAGGTTAATTGGCAACAGGTCAATAACGTGATTGGGTATAAAAATCTTTACTTCTGAGACACTCTAAAGCTAGCCATACACCTTACAATTTATCTGCAGATTTTCTGTGGTCAGATGGAAAAAGTGCAACAGATTGGCCCAGGTGGAGATTACTCCATCCACACAGTTAAGTTTAGATGGAGGAATCTGTTGCACCTTTTCCATCTGACCACAGAAAATCTGCAGATTAATTGTAAGGTGTATGGCCAGCTTTAGAGTGTCTCAGAAGTAAAGATTGGCAGAGATTCACCAATCTGTGAAAAGCGTGTCTAAAAATTGTAGAACATTTTCAGAATAACGTTTCTCAAGGTAAAATTGCAAATAATTTAAATATATCATCATCTAAAGTACATAATATCATCACAAAATTCAGAGAATCTGGAGAAATCTCTGTGGGACAAGGGCCAAACACAATATTGGAAGCACGTGATCTGTGGGTCCTTAGACGGCTCTTTGGGTCCTTAGAGTTATTATTTTGCCGTTTAGGCTAAAATTAGCTGAAGCTTGTAAGATACTGCTAAAGCTGAAATCAAGACAAAGACCTAATGCCTAAAGTACCGATACCGATTATGGGTCACCTTTCAGGCCAATAAACGATATCAGGTACAGATATTCTGTTTACATCCAGGTGCACCAGCAGAAGAGTGAACCTGAAGGAGAAAGCTCTGCTTCAGGTCCACTAGTCTGCTGATTGATAGCAGGCAGTGAGTGGGTGCAATAGCCAGTATGCTATTGGCTATTGTAATAGCCAATAGCAGGCTGGCTATTGCTTCCCCTGCTATCTGCTGTTTTTTTGCATTCCGATGTCGGTCGCTGTCAGAATACCCTAATAAAGCCGGCAGCTTATTGGCTGCCAGCTCTGTTCCTACATAGATTTTCTGACCAGTTTCTTCAATTAGCTGATAAAGGGATGCTGGCCAGACAGCGTTACACACTGTGCGAATTTCGGCGGGTTCTTCAAGAACTAGCTGAAATTCACACTGTGTTTATTATCGGTAATACCAATAAATGTACCCGATACGGATAAATAAAAAAAGGGGGAATATCTGCCCCGATTATCGGCCGATCACTACTAGTCACCTCTGCCCCCAGCCTTGACTGGACAAACAGCAATAAGAAATGGAGCTCTCTCCTCCTGACAGCACGATTCTTGTCAGCAATTATGAATGAGATTACAAGAGTCTGAACGCAAGCTAAATTCAGATATTTATACTTGTTGTATTTACAATACATTTAATTTTTTTATATAAATAATTCCTTAAGGTAAAGTTCTTTTAAAATAATTGCTTTATGAAGCAAATGTACCTCCCTTTGGGGTGTCTGTGTGAAGTAAATGCATTATTTGAGTAGGGATATCAGGATAAACAAGGGTAGGGAGACCAGAACACACAAACTAACATGTGATTTGTATCCATTTAATACAGCTTATTATAGGGATTTACCTGCTCTCTGCATCAGCACTGCATTTGGGGGATAGCAGCTCAAATGATTTGGTGAATTTCACCACCTAGAATAAAAAAAATCAATCACATAGTGCTGAAATCTTTTTTTTTCCATATCCATCATACTGTGACATGCATTTAAATAATGTTCCTGTAAATTACTGTTAATCAATGGTGCATTATTATTAATTAAGCAGTGTAATCAATATGGGAAATTTAATATACTGTTTAATATGCAGAAAAAAAAGATTGCTTTCATTCAGTGTGTGGGGCAAGATTTTATGGATTTCATTAACTAGAACAACGTATTGTTATTGATGCAGAGCTAACCCAGAAGAGAAAGGATGGAGAAAGCCAAAGGATTAATAGGTAAGAACATTTATTATACCAAATAATTAACTATTGCTCATTGTATTGAATTTAATTTGACATATCATAGCTGCAGCCAGGTCAGTTAATCAAAATGTGATTGACAAAGCCAACCTACCGGGTAGCTATAATTTTTTATTCCGGCATTTATTTTCTGTACTTCCTCATTACTAGAAGTCTATGGTTGCCAGCTTGATTGGATGAAAAAGCAAGCTGAATATTACAGGTTCATGAAACAAGAAGCTGTGGTCCTATGTATTGTGAAAACCTTGGTAAACCAGGCTACAAAGGATTACACAATTTAAATGATGCTAACATTCAACAACTAAAGCAAAGGAATGTGTATAATGCTCTCCTAGGTGGTGATGGGGGGGGGTTTCCTTGGGAGCTATTCATACAAACAAGGGATGCAATGCAGGCCAACACTGCAGCAAGTTAATTTTGACTTGGTGCATTATTAGCTAGTGTTCAGTCCATCAAGCACTGACCGTAGTCAGATGGTGTACTTGCTGCTATTTGTTAGAAGGGTGTTAACAATGAAGACCATTCTATGCTATTTCTTAAACCGGAAATGTCCTTTTATTGCTGACCATATAGATCAAAATGATTTGTATATTTATAGAATTATTTGTTGATTTATTATTATTACTATTATTTTTATCACAACCTAGTAAAAACATTCTACTCAAGTGGCAACAAAAAAATAATGGCAGATTTTGTTTGGTAGATGAGATTTTGTATGTCTGAAGTGCCCCAAAAAACTGTTTTGTCTGCCAGCTGGCAATTTTTTTGTTTGTGTGCACTACTTGTGACACAAGCACAGTGCAGTATGCATACCTGGTATCTGTATTGTCTGTTGTCTAATATATACTTAAACATTTAAGCAATTGTGTCTGATCCAGAATAAAACTGTAATGGTTTATTAATAAATGCCAATTTATAATGCTTCAGTGCACACTATGTGAAGCAGTCAAGCATAATTTGTTTGTAAATAATATATATAAAAAAAATGTCACAACAACCATTACTTATTCCATTTCTTTCAGCTTGCCTCCCTTCACTAAAATATTGTAGCTTCCATGGAGTTCTACCTTACTTTTATCTTCTCTTTTTTCTTAGGCCTCATCCACACAGCATAAAGCTGGGCTGTACAGATCTGTGCGGCGTGGCGGCCGTGTCGGGCCATTCCCGGGAAGGACAGGTGATGCGTGTGATTGCACACAGCAGCCTGTTCTTTTCTATGGGAGGAAGCGGCCGTACGCACACCTGAGCTGCACATCCGTGCGGATCCGGGTGTCCGTACTCGGACACAGAAAGGATGGTTTATGTCTGCGTCCGAGCACGGACACACGGACCTGCACGGATGTGCAGTTCGGGTGTGCGTATATAAGACAGCATACGGCCATAGGGAAGAACAGGCTACTGTGTGCAATCACACGCATCACTTGTCCTTCTCGGGAAAAGCCCGATCCAGCCGTACACGCCCCACGGATCTGTACGGCCCGACTTTATGCTGTGTGAATGAGGCCTTAATGTCAAAATCTGGCATAAGACAAGACAAGAATATACAATTGTAATAATAAATTATATTTTTAATAAGTTAATTTCCTTTTTCTTTTGTGAGACCTTCAGGTAGCCACCTTACTGGTTTTGCCCAATGGGACATATTTAGCTTCTTATTTGCAAATGCAAATAAATATTTAGGCTGATTTGTAAAAGGTGGAGGAAAAGTATATTATCTTTCCTCCACTTTTTCTAAACCAGGTTATGCCTGGGCACACAGTGTTCATAGACAATGGTAGATTGCTAAAACAACTGTGTCTGTAGTTCCCCTTAGTTCCCCCTTCTCATGGTGAAAAAGTAAGTATCAGCCCTGTTACACACATAGATAGATAGATAGATAGATAGATAGATAGATAGATAGATAGATAGACCATCTCAAAACAAAAGCTTTCAATGCCAGAAAATCAGCACGGATAGTTTAAAGTTTAGAAAGTGATGTACTATCCAAAGCCCCCCACACTCACTTACATTAACCCTCTCTGTAACACTAACACTGACCCTCCGACTAACCCTTGCTCTCTCTGTAACCCCATCTATAACACTGACCTTCCCTGTAATCCTAACCCTCTCTGTAACCTTACCAGTTGCACTAACCCTCCCCTTAAATCCTAATCCACCCTGCAGCCCCAAACCTAACATTAACCCCTTGTTTTGATACTCAGCTGTCCAGTGCTGGGCTTATGTATGCAAAAGACCACATGTCAGAATCTACTATATATATATTCGTGTTAGTAGAATATATATTCTACTATATATACATATATATTAGCTACTAAAGAGAAAAGTTTCAGTCTGTGTCTCAAACTGAGAAATCAGATAAGGCAATATTGTAATTCATTGGTGACAGTAAATGAGTGGAGTGCAGTGGGAGCTGATGTCTGTAATTGTTTGAGTTTCCATATTGATCCGACATTGGCAGCAACAGCAGGAGCATATGTCAGGCGGAACATTACACCACTGTTGATTTTACAAGGGTAGCACACGGAACAGTATCCTAAACTTTCCAAAACATCACCGCCTGACAGCTGTGGAATGCTTTCCCAGGAATTAATTATGAATGATATTAAACTTGGAAGACAACTCACTGGTGACTCAATGTCCTCCAGAAGCAGCACAGAGCAGCGTTCACACTTCAGCAATGTCTGAGCCCGATGCATAATTTTCTTGACAACCTTCTCCAGGTCTGTTTGTTCCTCAAACAGGTCATTCACGACCTCCAGCAAAGCCTGTGTAACACGAGAAACCATCTCATTGAAGCTGATAGGACAATATTGAAGACTTAATGTGCAATCTAAATGCTTAGTGCACTGTATTCTATTTTTTTTAAAACATACTAATATAAAAACAGGTTCTATGATTCAACGGGTTGAAAAACAATATACAATATTATTTAATTGATTTGTAAGTGTAATCTGTATACCCTCCTAAATATTACATGTCAACTAAGGAAAGAAACAGGGCCTGTGTTTATGGGCTTTGAGCTTGTATTGCAGCTTGCTTTCAGGTGCATTATGATTGAATTTGAGATGCTCAAAAGATCATTATATTGTATGTACAGCCAAGACTTTTGTTTAGTTTTGGAGAGAGAAGAGAGTAGTTAACACCTCTGCCAGGTTATTTTTTGTTGTTGTCTGTGTGCCAATGGGGAATTTTACTTTTACCATTTTAATTTCCTGTCCAAGAGACAGGAAGCAACAGGAAGTTAGAGAACAGCTCCCAAAGCGCATGGGATTTTTCTTTTGAACATTTGACCCAGGAACAGGTGTCCCAATTGGAAAATTTCCCTTTAAAATTTTGGACTTCCTTTCACTTGCTTTCTTGGTGACAATGGTCATCAGTACAAACAGAAAGGTGTGAATCTCCTCAATAGGGATATAGGTAGCTGACAAAAAACCTGACATAGGGTTTCACAGTGGGTACAACCCTTCTTGCTCCAACCCAAAACTAAAAAAAAAGGTTACGCCTAAGTATACACTTTACGAGTTAATTGACAAGTGTATTTGACTTGCAGTTGATCTACTTCTAAGCTGCATCAATTTGCCTCAAATTGATTTTGCCTTCCAATTGGTCTGTATATAGGGAGAGCAGTCCTGATTCTATCAAAAACCCATTGACACAAGCCCTTATGATATTAGGTAACAACAGTAACCAATCAGATTGCTACTTTTCTCAATTTACAGAAGCTAAAGTAGAGAAAGATTATTGCTGGTTGCTTGACAAGGATTATTCCGTTTACTCGTTGCTATTAAAGACCAATATGTCTACTTGAATTAACACTCAGACACTCACCCGACTTCTGTCATATTCCTTTCTTGAGGCAGCAAAAATTTGAGCATTGGATATGGCAATACCACAAAATGGGAGGTACATCTGCATAACCTATCAAAGAAAAATAAAAAGGAAGTGACTGAAAGCATACTCTGTACGATGTGGCTCATAAGAAAGGCAATTTGCAATTGCTATTTTAAATAAAATGTTTAACCAGTATAAAACTGGCTGTTGCATTTTTCAGATGATCTAATGATACTGACCCCATCTTAACTTTTTACGGCAGGCCTTCACTTGTTTTTTTTTGTTAACTCTGCTTACCTTGGTGAAACACTGATTTAAACAGGTTTTGCACAGGGGTGTAATGAAGCCTGCAGCTTTACTATAGAATAAAACAAGTAACAGAGTCTTCAATCACGTTCTTAAAGTGACAGGAAACTCAGAAGTTAAACCTTAAAAATGCATTCAAGTACCTCACCTTTTAACAGAAATTTACCTTATTTGTTTATCACTCAGCTGTAGATCCTTAAATCATCATGGATGTATGCTGACTCTGTCCTTCCTTCTGGAGGGGGGCTACTTTGTTCCCCATGGCTCCTGTGTGTGTTGTAAAGTAGCCACCGCTCCAAGCTCACTCCCATGATCGGCTACAATCCCACGTTTAGTTTACTAATTTGTATTGAGATTGTAGTCCATCACTGGAGTGAGCTTGGAATGGTGGCTACTTTACAACACACACAGGGACCATGGGGAACAAAAGTAGCCACCCTCCAGAAGGAAGGACAGTGTCAGCAACAATTCAGAGATGATTTAAGGATCTACAGCCGAGTGATACACAAATAAGATACATTTTTGTTAATAGGTAAGATAGTTGAATGCATAATTTGTAGGAGTGTAGTGTTACTTTAAGATTTAAACAAATAAAGTGGAAGTTAAGCAACAGAATAAAGCCTCATAATAAAAATAAAGTTCAGTACAGAATATCCCAAAAGATTTATCATCTTCATCATCACTAAAAAAAAAAAAGTGTAAAAGTTCCATAAAATGCTTTTTTTTATGGAAAAAAATTATCCTGCTGTCCAGCTCTCTTTTTTAAAAGTTGCATCTTGAGAGAAGCAATCACTGCAGAGACTCAAGATGGTAATGTGATGTAGTTCTGTGACACTAGGAGGCACTTTATTCTGCAAAACACACTCAGTAGGCATGGTACAGGGAGGTACTGTGCTGTCAGTCCGCCTCTCTAAGCAGTGAAAAGATGCTGAAAACACATGAGGTTTCCACCTTTAAGGTAAACTTCATGTCATGTTAGCAACTAAATTGGCAGAATTGTTGTCATTTTTATTATGGCCGCTACAGGCCATAGGAACCTCAACCAGCGCTCCAGTTGAGACTTACTGTTAGGAATAAATCAAGATTGCTGGCTGCAGAGCTATTCTGTAAAAGCCAAGGCATGCTGATCATGGATTAAGGTTTGCTACAGAAACTGCCCCCACCATAGTTATACAGACATACATATACAGATTAAGACTGCAATGACAAACTCATTAGAAAAATAATACCAAACTAAATAGCATAACTCCATAATCAGTTCTTACTCAGTTACCTTAATGCAGAATAATTCTACTTCACTGTGCCGAACATCATATTATTTTTAAAATGTTAGAAATCAAAATGCTTTTAAATAAAATTACCTTTTATATTTGTGTATCTGATCATTGAAAAACGTATTTCTAATAAATGTAAATAAGTTATAACTTAGTGTGGACTAAGGGACTGTTCACACATGCATGTTACAGTAGCGCTCAGTAAAACAATGCCTGGTATCACACCTCAATGCATCTCCACAATGCATCTGGGCTGCAATGCAATGCAGAGAACCACAATGCACAGTGCGCCTTGAGGTGCGCTGTGCTGCAAAAAAAATGTTTTAAATGTATGTGAATTTATGTGTCTGTTGCATCCTACTCAAAATGATCAGGGCTAGTTCACACTAGCCCCAGTGCATTCCGGCTCGATTCAGTGCCACAATGCACTGGATCGCACCCTGGCCGGCTTGCAGAATTTTTGCAGATGACACTGGACCGTAACGCAGGCACTATAGTGCCACGCGTAGAGGTGATCGCACTGCAGGCGGGGGACATGGCTGCGGTGCCATTGACATCAATGGACCACCACGCTCCCTCCCGCCCCTGTACACAGGAAGCCGACCGAGTTGCGATCCAGTGCGTTCCAGAGGCTGACTGCTCTGGAGCGCACTGCTTGTTGTGTGAACTGGAATGCAGCATTTTTTTCTGACCGCATAGATGTGCCACGCGTTCTGGTGTGGGCGTTAGCACTGTGGTGGTGGGGGGTTATTGCGGTGCCATTGACTGCAATGCACTGCCACCCCCCCTGCTGCCCCGGAACGCAGTCAGCCACCAAATCGGGCCAGAAATGGGGCTGGTGTGAACTAGCACTCAATGAACTGCATAATGAAGAACATCAATGCATGAAAATTTGTACATTGCATCGCAGTGTGGTAGGGTGTGAAGGGCCCTAGTAGTTTTGGGTCAGATTTATTTTAGCTAAACACATTTTTAAAATCATGGTGCAACATTTTGGCTTTCCTAAAAAAGAGCACAGAGGTAGCTTTTTCATTGAGACTATCTCTGCAATTGAAACTCAGCATGGCCCACTCTGAACAAAGCAAGTGTGGGGGTAAAAGCATGAATCACTCCTCTAAACTATTCATCTATATGTGTAATTTGAGCTTTTGCTATTGAACTCTGTCAATTCAGTAAAGCAGTTAATGTTCGCTTGGTTAACAGTAAAAAGGAGCATATAGCTTAACTTGCTGGCTGGAGATAGTATATAAAAATTATACATATGCAATATTTATCATTTACCTATTGAAAAAAATGAGAACGTATGTATAAAATACTATATTTTCCATTCTACTTTGATATCCATGTTAAATTCCACTTGTTCAGATTTAAAATGTGTTTGAGCTACATAATCTAATTTGTAGCACATACCCATAGGAAATTCATGCAAACACAAGCATGCAGGACCTTGGTAGGAACTGAACCCAATAACCAACGCAGAACCATGCTGCCTAATGTAACCATAGCTCAAAACCACATTATAACCAAATTATTAGATTTAAAACAAATTTCTGATGCAGCGTTGGAGCTAAAACTTTGCTGGAACTTACAGTTCACCAGCTGCTTGAGAAAAGCCGTTTGCCAACAGCAATGTGAACTTTTGGCCATTGGCAGAAGGCCAAAGGACAATTGTTCTGTGACCTGTACAATTTGCCACTGTTTGTGTATGAGTCATCTCTCTCCTTCCTTCATAGCTGTATTGTTAGCTTCCACTTCACCCATTACTTTTATGTCTCTTTATTATTTATGTCTGTCATATTTATAGTGATGTGAGTTCTGAAAACCATGGTGAAACAATGCTGCACATTTGTAGGCACAGATGTTGTTTACAAGCAAAAGGGAACAACTCCCTGAGGCAGATAAGATGGGGAAAAACTGGGCCACAAGATGTTACTTATGTCCCTTGACTGGAGAAATAAAAATCTCCAGAAGTTATATTATTCTTTAAAACTTTGTTACTGGACTCAATAATAACCAGCTGTAAAGATGAGCAGTTTAATATTAAACAACATCCCCAAAACAAGTTAATTTAATTTGTATATATTAAATTAAATAAAGAGGCTATATTAGCCACCACAAGAAACCACATACATTCTGTACAGTTATTCTCCTGAACTAAAAGGTTTAGGCCTTTTATCAGGTTTCACAGTTCTCTGTATTAACGTTTTGGAGATTCGCCCCACTCTCTGTTCCAATGACCAAACAGGAAGTGAGTGGGATTAGGGAAAGATGCAGAAATCATAGCCCGAGAGGGGAAATAAACCTTCCCCAATCCTAAACAAAGTACAATTTTAGCCAGAGCTGGACTTTCACCCTACAGTTTTCAACTAAATTTCCCTTCAGGGCTAGATGAGCCTACTGATACTTGTTGGCCCTTAGGACCAAAGTGATATCTGAAAATATGAATGAGAAAGAAACTGATATGAAACTGATATGAACCAAAGAGCAATCCAGAAGAGAATTCAAAAAGTTGACAGTCAGAATTGGGGAATAAACAACCAGTTTATCATGATCAAACATAAAATAGCTACTGTGTTGCGCTGGGCTCCAAATATCCTTACGTGAAGAAATATAATATTAACAAATGTGTCCACCATATAAATTGAATATCGGTGTGATACCTTTTTCTCTGTTCTCTAACCTCATGTGTGGGAAATGTGATCACTCTGTGGAAACACACAATTGAAATCACAGATTGATTTGGACTATTATCAATGTTATCATGGATATAACAAAATGATTTGTTTGATTTATGTTTACACGGTCTAAGTTTTATTACACGCTCTAAGAAAATATTCAGTATTTATGTAAGAACACATAACCTGGAACAGTTATAACGTTTACTCACATAAATCGTAGCGCAGCCTTCACTGATATCATGATCAAACATAGGCTCAAGAGGATTTGTTTGCATGAATATGGACTTGGAGTAAACCGCAACAATCAGATGTTTGCTGTGAAACTCTCTTCTTCTCTTTGTTGAATAAACCGACTCTTTTAGTGAACTTTCAGTGATAGGGGTTATCACTGTTTGCTGAGAATCCCACCACAAAATTCCTTATGCTCTCTGCAAGTATATAATAGCAGAATTATGCTCACACTGCTGACCAGTGGAAGGGGTGAAGAGTCTGTTATTTGAGCAATACTGCCCTAAGAGCCACCAAAATCATGTACTTGTAGGGCCATAATATAAATCCTGTGCCAAGTTGCTACTAGTTTCATGTAGTACATGACAATTAGATTAGGTAGGTGTCCACAGTGCTTCTGGTTGGAGGTGCAGCCTCTTGATTCTGAGGTGTTGCAGCTCTCTCTCAGGACTACGGAGGGTAGGGTATTATCACACAAGAACTCAAAGAAGTAGAAGTTTCCAGACATTTCAGGCACATCCCATTGACAGGCAGTAGCAGCACAATCCAAACTGTAGACACTCTCTACAATGCTTCTGCAGCTTTTATTGTTAATTCG